AATACCAAAGTCATGTTTGTTTTTTCTCCAGTCCTAAGGCTTGAACTCAGGATCTAGATGATGTCCCTTAGATTTTTCTCACTTCCAGCTTTTTGGTGGTAAACTGAAGATAAAAGTCCCGTAGACTTTCTTGCCTGGACTGGCTTTGAACCACGATCCTCAAGTCTCAGTCTTCTAAGTAGCTAGGATTACAGGTGTGAGCCACTGATGCCTGGCAAAAGCTAATGTATTTCTAGTATATACATATTTCCATATACTAGGAGGTATAGCACATGCAACAGGTGGAAATTCATGTGGCAATCTTGTTTATATTATACAATGATTTGCTACTTTAAATTATCTAAAAGGCATTTAAAAATATTAATTATCTGCTTCAAACTTTACTGGCAAATTAAAGTTTTTTGTTTTTGTTGTTCAAAAGACTAAGTCATACAGAATTACCAGAACACTTAGATAGTTCAGTGTAGTGTTAGACTAAAATAAAATGCTTTATAAAAGCCAGATATGTAAGCCACATAGCATAATCAAAAAGGCTTTCCTGAACAGGTCCAAGAGAGTATTCAGTTCAATTGATGCATGAAGTTTCAGAGTCAAGGTCAAATAACACTACTCCACTTCTTTTTAAGTGAAGATCCTTACAACTACACATGAGAACTTCTGGATGTGTTCCCAGAATTCAGTTAGCTTTATCCTTGGAATATCTACAGACTGGCAAGACAGCCTAAGTTCTGATATACACTGAAAGATGTTTAAAATTCTGCTTTGTTTCTATAATGTTATGCTGTAAGATAGCTCATGGTATCATTTGTAATCGCAGAGTAAAAAATACTTCCAGTCTTAAAAATTGGATAGCTGAAATTCACAAATCTTCCACAATAAACAATTTTCTATGATTTATTACCAATACTATCCAAAAGATCAAAGGAAGCTTACTGGAAATTTAATTCCAAGAAAAAATGTAATGCATAACATGCATCATAAATACATTCTAAGAAAGGATATCATTAAGCCTTCTAAAAAGGTGGTGATAACATGGCTCCTAATAGCACTTTAAAAATATCAGAATCAAAAAAAGATCTAGCTTGTGGGTTCTAAAGGCAAAACTTGGCTGACAGGAATCAGCATTGCTTTGTGATTCCAGAAGGGAGAATGCAGGAGCAGCCTGCAATACCAGAAATTTAAAAAAAGTTCAAGGGATAGTGGTAAACTGAAAGGACCAGGTCCTTATGAAAGACATGCATGGCTCTTGACTATGAAAGATCTTAATATTGAAAATACATGGGGGGCTCAGACCTGAGGACCGTGATTCAAAAACAGCTCAGGCAGGAAAGTCCATGAGACTCTTATTCCCAATTAATTACAGAAAAAGCCAGAAGTGGTGCTGTGGCTCAAGTGGTAGAGCTCTAGCCCTGAGTAAAAGGAGGTCTGTGACAGCACCCAGGCCCAGAGTTCAAGTCTCAGGACAAAAAAAGGAAGGAAGGAAGGAAGGAAGGAAGGAAGGAAGGAAGGAAGGAAGGAAGGAAGGAAGGAAGGAAGGAAGGAAGGAAGGAAGGAAGGAAGGGAGGAAGGAAGGAAGAAAGGAAGGAAGGAAGGAGAAAGAAAGGAAAGAGAGAGAGAGAAAGAAAGAAAGAAAAGAAAGAAAGAAAGAAAGAAAGAAAGAAAGAAAGAAAGAAAGAAAGAAAGAAAGAAAGAAAGAAAGAAAGAAAGAAAGAAAGAAAGGAAGGAAGGAAGGAAGGAAGGAAGGAAGAAAGAAAGGAAGAAAGAAAGAAAGAGAAAAAGAAAATACATCTCACCAGAAATGGAGCCTTGGCTCAAGTGGTAAGAGAACTAGCTTTGAATGCAAATGCTCAGGGAAGTTCCCAGAGCCTTAGTTCAAGCACCAGAAATGGCATAAACACACACACACAGACACACAGACACAGACACAGACACACAGACACACACAGACACACACACACACAAATCACGGGAACTGGATTATTTTTGCAACTTTCTTGTAAGTCTTGTATTTTTTCAAAATAAAAAATAAAGAAAATAAAATGGGCTATTCTAAAATCAGAAAACAAAATCAAAGCCAGCAAGTACATTACCCCCACTGTTTTGGAAGCCAGTTTCAATTGTCACTCAGAGCTAAGGAAAATCCAGAAATTTTTGTTGAGGAAAATAACATTCAGAAAAATAATTCCTCATAATCTCTAACCATGACATTCAAAAGATTTTTGAGACTATCATCATTCACCTACATGGACTAAAGACTCAAATATTAACTTTTGTGTTAAAAATTCAGTCTTTTAAGATTCAAATCTTTCTTAATTATATTTAGTATCTCAAAGGCAAATAAATACACATATAGTCTTTCAACTGTGCAGAATTACTATTATTATTTTTTATTGCATTTATCTCATTCCTATTTGATCATGGACTACAAAGGCAAGCACCATGCATTTCTAACTTCATAACCTAACTGTGGCACCTTTCCCTTTTTCTTTTCTTTTCTTTTCCTTTCCTTTCCTTTCTTTTCGCTATCTTTCCTCTCTCTCTCTCTCTTTCCTCTCTCTCTCTCTTTTGTTTTTGTGTGCGTTCTAGTCCTGAGGCTTCATTGAACTTCAGGCCTGGGCATGGTTGCTGAGCCTGTTTACTTAAGACTAACTAGCACTTTACCATTTGGGCCATAGCTCCATTTCTGGCTTTTTGGTGGTTAGTTGGAAATAAACGTGTCATGAACTTTTCTGCCTGGGCTGACTTTAAACCATGATGCTCAGATCTCAGCCTCTTAAATAGCTAGGATTATAGGCTTGAGCCACTGGCACTCCATGCTGGTACATTTCTTCTTTTTTTGGGGGGCGGGGGGTCCAGTCTGAACTCTAGGCCTGCGCACTGTCCCTCAGTTCTTCAGCTCAAGGCTAGCGCTCTACTACTTGAGCCACAGTGCCACTTCCGGCTTTTTTTTCTGCTTATGTGGTGCTGAGGAATAGAACCCAGGGCCTCATACATGCAAGGCAAGCACTCTGCCACTGAGCCACCTTCCCAGCCCAATGCTGGTACATTTCTTAAGGTACAAGGATATTCATAAATATTATTTTACTCAAAATGAATAAAAATTATAAGCAAGTGATTGATCGAGTTCAATGGATTGCTTTCAGGTGTCTAATATAGTTATAAGAAAAAATTCCCTGGGGGGAATATGTATAATTCAAAATAAACAATAGTTCTTGAAGCTTTCCATATTGCCAGTACATCTTGTTTTTATTCTAGGTTATAGTGCTTGAACTCGGAACCTTGTGTTCTTGCCTAGCTTTTTTTTTTTTTTTCATCCATCATAGGGCTTGAACTCTGGGCCTGGGCGCTGTCCTGCGCTGTTCAGCTCAAGGCTAGCACTCTACCGCTTGAGCTACAGTGCCACTTCCGGTTTTCTAGTAGTTTATTGTAGATAAGAGTCTCACGGACTTTCCTGCCCAGGCTGGCTTTGAACCGTGATCCTCAGATCTCAGCCTCCTGAGTAGTTAGGATTACAGGTGTGAGCCACTGGCGCCCGGCTTCAATTGCTTAGCTTTTCTGTACAAGGCTTATACTCTAACGGTTGGGCCAAATCTCTTACTTCCTTCAAATTATATGTAAATTTATCTTTTCTTTTAAATATAGTTTATAATTTGCGCTATTACAGATGAGTTAATTTTGTCTTAGCAGTTAGTTTCATTCAAATATATATTTTATTTCAGTGGCTTTCAAAACTTCATGAAATGTAAGTAATTGAGGATATAGTTCAGAGTTATGTAGTATTACTTCTGCTACTTAAAACACTAATATGTTGTTTGAATTTTGCAGTTTTGTTCTGCATCAGAACACACATTCTTTATGGCAAGATATGTTTCATCTTTTTTTTTTGTAATATAGTATCAGTGACTCTCAAAACTCCAGGCCATAGGAATCTTCAAGCTTCACATAAACATGAGAATACAGTGGATATAAGTATGCAAAAGCAAATCTATTACATCAAATTTAGTACATGCTTTTACAGGCAATGGAATAAAATTTCTAATTTGGTTTGAAAGTGAATCTACAGTACAATTTGTTATTTCAAAAAGAAAACAGACTTGAGAGTTCTAAGCTGTAGTTTCGGAAACTAACCTTTATACGTTTTCAGGTAAAAAAAAAAGTTCTATAGTAAATTAAAGATTTTTTTTCGGGGCTGGGAAGGTGGCTCAGTGGTAGAGCGCTTGCCTTGCATGCATGAGGCCCTGGGTTCAATTCCTCAAAACCACATAAGCAAAAAGAAAAAAGCCAGAAGTGGCGCTGTGGCTCAAGTGGTAGAGCGCTAGCCTTGAGCTGAAGAGCTGAGGGACAGCACCCAGGCCCAGAGTTCAGGCCCCATGACCGGACCAAAAAAAAAAAAAAATTTTTTTTTCATGAAATAAAATAGCTTTTCTAAAGCTATTCTAGCTTAATAAAATTTATAGTGAATCAGAGACTATATTAACCAGCATAAACAGCAAGGTATTATTTTGATCATTTTTATCAATATTTAGATCTTCTATGTCAACATAAAGTAAAAACAAGTGAAAACCAACATTATGTATTTAATACTATCCAAACCAACACACAAATGTTCATATAAACCTTGAACATGGGTCCCAAATGCTTCTCTGAAATGTTTTAGAGCACACACATACAAAAAAAAATGAACATTTCATTCTTGTCCACTTACAATCCAGTTATGTGCTATGGTAGCATTAAGTTTTGTTTTATTTTTAATACTGTTAATGCTCATTAAGCCTGCTTAAGAGCCATAATTATAACCATCTTTCCATCAAATTTTCTTCTTTGAAAAATGCTCTAAATAGAAATTTATTTTATTGGCTACCTGTTCAAAGCAAGTAGGGGAAAGCAAACAAAAATCTCAAGAAGAAGGGAAGTGGGAAGCTGGAATGGAGAAGGAAAGGAGGAAGCTGGAGGGGGGGTAAAAAAAAAAACAACATCAAGAGAAACTGCAAAGTCCTTACCTTCATTTCTTTTCTCTACTTTTGTTGCATCTTCTAGCTTTTTTTGTTTTGCTGCTAACAATTCCCTCTTTAACTGTCTAGCTTCTTTTCTGAGCTCTTCACTATAAAGAAAAAGAAAGTTATTTTTAATCATATAATGTACTAGCATTATATAACTTACTTGTTTTGCTAAACAAAAAAGTGAATGATGTAATTTTATTTCTGTATACAATTGTTATAAAGAAACATACCTATAAAAGAAAAAGAAGTAGGAGGAGGAGGAGGAAGAGGTGGTGGTGGAGGAGGAGGAGAAGAAATAAAAAGACATGATGAATTTCTGGATTCAGGATGGTTTAAGCACTACTGATCAAGGTTCATGTATTGGAGACTTGGCCCCAATGATGATGGTATTTAGTGGTGAAGAGGTGTCACCAGTGGGAGATCCTTAGGCTAATATGGATGGAAGGGGTCTTGGTACATCCAAGTATCTCTAGTTCTCTGTTTCATGGTCATCTGTCATGGAGTGACCCAGCAGGTGTTGCAGATTGTCCTGCCAGAGTCTGCTATGCTATTTGGCCTTCCAGTATCTAAAACCGTGAGCTAAATAAATACCTTGTTTGTAAAATTAGCCAATCTCAGATATTTCATTATAGTAACAGAAGTTTGATTAATGTAAACCTTTAGGGTCACTTGTGAATAGTTAAAGCTCTTCATATTGTATCTTTGAATGTCAAACATCAACTCTACAGCCAGCCACAGCTAGGCATGGATCATGGAAGGCCTCCCCTTCTGGAAATAAGAGTCAAAGTTATTGAAGCGAAGGATTAGTAAAATCTAAAATCTAAATTGTTCCACATTGAGTGAACATTTAGGGATTCTTCTTGATTTTAAATCCCAGGCCTTTCTACCATTCACTAACCTGTATTAGATTTAGATAGGCCTCATGACATCAGATACAAATAGTCGTAGTTTAAAATTAGCCTTCAAGATCTTTGAATTCTGAAACTATCCTTTCAGATTAAAAGTCCACTACCTTTTAAGAATCCACTACCTTTTAAGTCTGTTTATCCTTTTCTTCCTGCTCAAGTTGTTCATACTCCTAACAATCAAAGCATAGTTCCTGGTCTATCACAGCACCATAGTGATTCTCATTGGCTTTGTATCCACTCTAGGTGATAAATATGGTATGGTCAGTCTTTTTACCAGTGATTCATTAGTTCTCTTAATTTTTTCAACTGCCCTATAGACACATTACAGCTTCTCCTGGGAGAAATTGTAGATCTGGGTTAAGCATTTCCCCCTAGGACCTGTTCCAGAAGACAAACTGCTGAGAATACGTAATGTGAGCCATGAGATGTTGCCATGGATCTGCCCTTGTAACAAGTTCTACTGATGATTTCTGTGTGCATGCAGGCTTGGGACTTTACAATAGAAATTAACTTCTCTCTCTTTACAATGTCAGGCTACTCCTACTCCTTTCATTGAACAAACAAATATGCTTAAGTTTCTCTGGATTCTATTCAGATCAAGTGATTATTATCCTCACAAATGGATTCTGTTCCTGAAAGGATAGTCTATTTGTAGAGTCTACTTCATAATCTCTTGCAATCTATCTCTCTTGTACTCTACTGAAACTGCTTCTATATATCACACAAATTCAATGGTCTTTTCTCAGTTCTTCTCTTCTTTGGCCTCTCTATCATTCAACAATGTTAACTACTTCCTTCCTGAAATTCTGTCCTAATCAGACTTCTTAGCATTTTAGCATCATGACTTTTCAGTCCTCCAGTTTACTTTTACTTCCTACTTACAAGTTGTTAACATTTTTCTTCTCTATCCACTGTACTCAGACATTTTTATAAAATCTCATGAGATAAATTAACACTCATATATTGGTTATTCTCAACTCTAGATCTTTTGCCTCGATTTGGGTCCTGCATTTGTAACCATCTGTTACAAATCTTCATGCTAACCAACAGAAATTTAAGGTAAGACATACAAGTAATTTAAAGTTTTCCAGAAGCTACATCTTTCCAAAGTAACACACACACACACACACACACACACACACACACACACACACACCAAACTTTTAAATTATCCTTAAAATTCTATACCAAGCAATATAGAAAATATTAATGTGACATTTTTATATTTTTGTTCAAATCTTTAAAATCTGGTATTCATTTTGCTTGTATAGCACATTGCATTACTTACATTTCAAAGACTCTGGTCTAGAAAGAAAACAGGTCAGATATTTCAAAATAATATATCCTACATTTATTCCTTCTAAAATAAAAATGAAACCATTACAAATGACCAGGCCTTGAACTTCTCCTAGACTCTCCCTTTCCTCTTCATTGAATTAGTATAGAAACAGATTTCACCATACTACTCATGGTCACTACTGTAGAGAGCTGCGAGAGGCAGCACCTGGAAGATGGTGCCGGCTTCCGCCCTCCGCCTTCCCGATGGCGAATGCTCTCTGTGGCAAACAACTCCTTATATGGCTAAGGCAAAGAATCTGGCTTGCTTCCGCGCACCTGAACCTAATGGTGGTTCCCACGTGGCGTATCAGGGTTGGCTACCCAGCGGGTACTTAAGGCTGTGGGGAATTCTCCCCGGGGTTGGGGTCAGAAGATTACTCAAAGGTCCTGAATAAACTGCAGAGAGAAGAGTTCGGTGTCGCGTCTTCCTTGCTGGTCGAGGCGGTCGCGGCACGTGGTGGCCCGTATGGGGAACTCAGCCATAACCCCAACGAGGACTCAGAACTCTCTGCGGTCAGGGTGGTGCACCGGTAAGTTCCCAGGTAAAAGGGGAATCCGCGACAAGAGCGGGGGTAAGTCCCCAGGTAAAAGGGGAATCCGTGACAAGAGCGGGGAGTAAGTTCCCAGGTAAAAGGGGAATCCGCGACAAGAGCGGGGGGATTTTTGCTCTTCTCTGTAGATAAAGAGAGCGAGAACCCGGGGCTAGTCAATATATTGAGTAGCCAAAAGTGAAAGTAAAAGATTGTTTACCAGGTTAAGATTTTTAAAACATGGGTGCTTCTTCTTCGCACCTAATTTTTTTGGCTCTCAATGAGCTACTGCATTCAAAGAAGTTAAAAATAAAAAAGAGTACTTTAGAGAGATTTTTGGATGAATGTGACATCGTTGCCCCGTGGTTCGCTGTCTCCGGAAGCCTCACGGTGGCCTCTTGGGAGAAACTAGGGAGGGACCTAGATTTTGCCTCTGAACAAGGAACGCTTAAGAGCGGAGTGAGACCAATATGGAAACTGGTAAGAGGCTGTCTTGAGGACCAGCGCTGCAGTGAGGCGGTAGAGAATGGTCAGGCCGCCCTAGAAATGCTGCAGGAAGATAGATCAGAAAGGGCAGACAGCGAAAAGGAGGAGAGCAGGGTGGGGGTTATACCCCGATCTTGCCGAACTAGAGACCTCTGAGTCTACAGACTTAGAGGAACTACAATCACTCATAGAACAAATAGAAAAAACAAAGATAAAGAGGAGGAAAGGGAAGGAGAGAGAGGACCCAGATAAAGACGAATGCACGCCTTCCATGTGCCGCGCCGCACCCTCGGCCCCTCTGCTCTATGCGGAGGACCCCGGTTTTGGAAAGTGGTCAGAACCGAGTTACATCTAGCCTGTCCAATATTTCAGTATCCACAGGGACAGCGGTATCATGAACCCTTAGATTTTAAGGTTATAAAATCTTTAGCTGAGTCTGTGCGGACATACGGAATCACAGCCTCCTTTACTGTAGCCCAGGTGGAGGCCCTAAACAGACACTGCATGACACCTGGTGATTGGAGTGGGCTCGCACGAGCTTGTTTGAGCCCAGGTCAGTATTTAGATTGGAAGGCCTTTTTGATTGAATTTGCTAGTGAAGAGGCTGCGGCCAATCAGGCTGCGGGAAACCCAGCTTGGGACAGAAATATGCTGCTTGGAAGGGGCTGGGAACGTGGCTCAGTGGTAGAGCTCTTGCCTTGCATGCCTGAGGCCCTGGGTTCGATTCCTCAGCACCACATAAGCAGAAAAAAGCCAGAAGTGGCACTGTGGCTCAAGTGGTAGAGCACTGGCCTTGAGCTGAAGAGCTGAGGGACAGCGCCCAGGCCCAGAGTTCAGGCCCAGGAAAAAACGCTGCAAATTTGTCTAAACAGTTGTCTAGTTATCTTTTAGGTAATTGAACTGGGGAGTTGGACAGCCTGATGGAACAGTTCAGGGTTGCCATCGTCATGGTGAACTCGACCCAAGTGGATGCCGGATTGGCGGAGGGGTTATCTTCATGGATCTCCGCTGCTATGAATCATCTCAAGGAGTGGGCGGGTTTGGGAGCCCTGACAGGCCTCCTGGTATTAGCCTCCTTGGTATGTCTGTGGTGCATTTGCCAAATTAGAGGTTCTCAGCGTCGCAGTGCAGCCATGATTATCCAAGCCTTTACAGCCATTGGAGCAGGTCAGTCCCCCCAAGCGTGGCTTGCCACCCTAAAACAATGAACACAGATTGCAAAGCCAAAGTACTGCAGTCGAGAGGCATGAGTTTTGCCCTCGAGGAGAGCATGTTTGATTGCACACGGGTTCGCCTTTTCCCGTCCTTGTGAAAAACGAATCAATGGACAGGCTGAGTCATCCCTAGAGAAGGCGCCCTCTGGGAGAAGGCTTGTATGCAGTCCTTGCATTGCACAACAGGGATCAGACCTCTGTTCTCATCTGTGTTCTTTAAACAAAAAAGGGGGAACTGTAGAGAGCTGCGAGAGGCCGCACCTGGAAGATGGCGCCGGCTTCCGCCCTCCGCCTTCCAGATGGCGAGTGCTCTCGGTGGTAAACAACTCCTTATATGGCTAAGGCAAAGAATCTGGCTTGCTTCCGCGTACCTGAACCTATTGGTGGTTCCCATGTGGCGTATCAGGGTTGGCTACCCAGTGGGTACTTAAGGCTGTGGGGAATTCTCCCCGGGGTTGGGGTCAGAAGATTACTCAAAGGTCCTGAATAAACTGCAGAGAGAAGAGTTCGGTGTCGCGTCTTCCTTGCTGGTCGAGGCGGTAGCGACACACTACCAAGTTCAGTTGCTAGAAATGTATATCTCAAATGGAAGCAAGTACTTTTTATTTCTTGAAAGTTTATAGAC